TATAAAAAAAAGGTTTTAAAAGGTTTTTATTTGGATTTTGGCATAATAAAAAAAATGCAGTTGTATTGAGATTAAATAAAATGAGAAAGAGAAAAGAATAATTTTAAAATATTATTTTATAATAATCAATGGGCCGAATAATTATATCGTAACTTCACGGGTTATCAGAGATTATTACACAGTTCACGGTAAGCAATGCATTGATTGGATATTTTGCCACCAATCAATGCATTGCTTACCGTGAACTGTGTAATAATCTCTGATAACCCGTGAAGTTACTATCAATTATTAATTGAATAAAAAGAATATCTGGATTTAATATAAAGAGATTTTTATTTATTAAATATGTAGTAAATTAAGTTAATACAAAGTAAACGATTTTATAGTTTCCTTTTAACTTTTATCAATCTTATATGGTGATCAGTGTTGTTATTTTCCAGTTCCAATGATAAAATAAATGGAAACTGGAAACTGGAATGCTGGAATAATTATTGGAATCAAATAGAACAATGGAACTTTGGAACATTGAAATTTAGTTAGTGTTCCAGTTTCCAGAAATGTTATTGGTTAAATAAATTTGAAATCACGATCAAAATTTTTTTTCGATCGTAATCTTATTACACAAAACCATCTAAATCCATTTGATACAAAATGAGTAATTGAGGTGACAAACCTCCACATGTATTTGCAGAAATTATTACACCTGTTCGTGGTTAATAAAAGTAATGTCTTGCAGTTTGTAATGGTTGTATTAATAAATAAGGGTTTCAGTGGGCAAAAGATCATTGTAATGAAGAAAATATAAAGTATCTAATACTGTTCCAAAGGATAAAGAGGGAATCATCTATAAATTAAGGATAAAGCTCTTATCATAGACAAATACAATCACTGAACAGAAGCAAAGCATATTAGATAGACATTGTTATAAGACGATTTATTAGATAGAAATACAAAATCATTTATTAGATTGTTGGAGAAAAATCTGGAGGTCAGTAAAATGCCACTAATTAGAATGATTGTTAAACGGCTGGACTTTTTTTTCTATTATTTTTACAGCTTTCGATAGAAGAAACCAGTATACAAATTTAATTTCATTAAAATTCGAAGACATTATGATTAGATACATTGGAAAAGTGTTGATGGACTTGTGAACTATTTGGATTACCACTGTAGCAGAAAGATCAAATAGATCGAAGGCGTTATTAAAACAATATAAGAAGATTTCACATTCTTTTCTTGCTGATAGTCTTAATTAATATTTAAATAGACACTTATTATTCTGCAGTATGTAATCGCAAAAGGAAACGTACGGAAAGAAAAATGCATCAAAAAAAAGTAAAACAACAAAAAATCTGAAAACTACCATCCGACACCAAAAGTTCATTAGTTTAAACATGTCAAGAAATTTGACAATTCATCCGCATCAACTTAGTCTTCCTTTCCTCTTTTACCTCTTATGATCTCAAATGGCATCACTCCAATCTAGTTGTTCGTATAATAGGGAATAATCTCTCAAAATAATTAAAAAAAAAAGCCCTTGTTAAAGGCGGGTCATCGGTAAACGATCAGATGTTCCCGGTCACGTTATTCTACTATGAAGATATACGAGACTGCTAGTCAATGTATTATATAATTAATACTTGGTTTGGCCAGTAAAAAAAAATATTAACCGTAACGTTATATCACGCGTACGATCGAGCACCCAGAAAAATTCTTCGATCACGTGACATTTGGCCCGCATTATGAATAATCCATAAACCTAATTTAAGAATGTGATGGTTATTGTGTGACAAATATGATTTTCACTACTGTAAAAATTCAAGTCCACCAGAATACTTATGAAAATGGAGAATGCGAAGGATGTGACAGGGGATAATAAAAATATGTACTTTTTGGAATATAAAATTGTCAGGACCGCTATCTTAAGATCAATGAAATTACACTGATAAATACGAAAAGGTAAATTCATTTTAAGACCGATCGGTCTTTATAGAAAGCAAACGATTACAAACTTGCTGCGCCACACTAATAAAGACCGTGATTAGGACCATTTTTTTAAAAGAGGATCGTGTGGACTGAAAACCACCTTTATTTGGGTTGTTATACTTTATATGTATTGTATACTATATCTGCGGCGTTACCATCCAAAAGAATTGAAATACAATACAATATTGGACATCCTTATTTTCAAACAAAAAAGGAATCACAAAGAAAAACTTTAAGTTTTGTTATGTTAACTGCGCCATCACTCGGATTTACAAAAACGAATTTTTTTTTTTATCCCTTTTAACTAGCGCAAAAGCGGGTTTTGTGTATGTGTACAAAATCATTTGATTCAATTATGGAGTTATTGTCATGCAAATAAAGGGTAAACATTATTAAGTAATTTTCGCTAATCGCTGAATTATTTAATGAACTGCGACATTTAAACCGTGTTTCTGTGTATTTTTCAAAACGATCGGCCGATTTTATCAACCCTGTTCGAGCGGCGTGCCTTAAAAAATATGTCATCATTGTTAAGTTACCGAATTTGGGTTGGGCTGATTTTTTGATATAAAAAAAAAGAATTTTTTTTTGTCTAATAATTTCCGCAACTACGGATTCTTCCTCTAATAATTCAATTTTACACAAAAAAAAAAAGAAAATAAATGATGGAAACGTATCTAGAATGCAGTATCTGCTGTGAAGACTATACAGTAATTAACAAAATCTCATCCGTATGTGGTCATGATGACCTTTGTCCCATCTGTATCAAGCGACATATTGAAGCCGAATTAAATACTAAAGGTGATATTGTTCAAGTGCGATGTCCAAAGTCTCGTTGCACAACAGAGTTGACTTATGAAGATTTAAGAAGATTGGCTCCAAAAGAATTATTCGAAAGGTGTCATGAATTTTATTGATTATTCTTGAGAACTTTTAACTTTATCAAGCAACTTATTAAATATATGACAAAATAAGGTATGACACGTTGCTACTACGCGCTGCCATTCGTAAGCTCCCTGACTTTCGTTGGTGCAAGGCACCTAGATGCGGTTCCGGTCAAGAGCACACGACCGGAGGTAAATTGATTAAAAAATCTTTTAATTTTAATTCGACCTAAAAAATAACATGGTCATGTTTGTCTTCTCCCCTCACTTCAGATAATTTACCTATAATTACTTGTGAGGCATGTGGCG